TTAAACGACGTCTGTTAATGATGACATGTGCACAGCTGTATCCCCTCTCATCGGGCTTAACTGAATAACCCTTTAGAACCGGTCCATTTGTTGTTAAATATGTATTTATGTATGATGGTTGGTCCTGCTTTTGGGTTGCGTTTTGGTGTAAAATGTAGCCTACATTTAAATAAAAATATAATTATAGTAATGTGAAAGCCTTTTAGAAATGAATTGCACATAATAATTCCCACGGAGCTGTGAGCACTTATACATTTATGTGACGCTTTTCCACTCATCTTCCAGTTGTCGGTTTTCCTCTGTTGAAATGGACCAGCTGTGAAGGTGGGGGCGGGGCTTTTATACGCGAGTAGTGAAAACACTTCCGCGTAGTCTGCTCGCGTGTATCCTCCCTTTTGGCTTTCCATACTCCCACACCCCTCCTCCCTCACCCCTCCGCGACTCGTCCGTGTGCATTTCAGCTATTGGGACGTCCTTCAACATGGCGTGTCTTGATCGATTTCCGGGTCAAGTCCCGGAGGAGGGGAAGAGAGGAGTCGAGGAGGGGTATTGGGATGAGGCTACTGTCATCTCATGCCTTAATAACATCCTCAAAACATCCTCTGAATGTTGCAGTTAAAACGTTATGTCTTAGTTAACCTTAAACCTTATAGGAACATTATTTGAAATAAAAACATCCTAAAAAGGTTCTTTGAACATCAGATTAAAACGTTTCTTTAAAACCATATTAGAACCTGTAGGTAATGTTAGCCAAAGTTGTGAGAACGTTCCCCGCTAGCTGGGATGGCACCTGACCACTAAAAAGAGAACACTCAGGCAGAGGTCTGCAGACATCGCCATACACTTCTGCTTAATCATAAGTGAGGGATCTAAAAAAAAAAGAATGAAATCCAGCTCAATATAACAGAAAAAAATAATAATGAGCATTATACAGAAATGTGATATAAGACATTGCCATTGTTTTTTTGTTTTGCTGTTGCAACAGACTGCTCAGCTCTCTGTTGTTTGGTGCAGTAAAGCTCATTTCTGTTCCACTGCAGCATTGGCACAGTGTGTGTGTGTGTGTGTGTGTGTGTGTGTGTGTGTGTGTGTGTGCGTGTGCGTGCGTGCGTGCGGGTGGGTGGGTGGGTGTCTACAGACACTGGGGAGAATCAGAGGATTTTGGTAAACAAAAAGGAATAGTAGGTAGCCTTTAAATAAATCATTAAGTGTTCCCCTTATTTCAGAAATACATTCAGTTTGTAGAGACCTTCCAACAAGAGAACTATAATGCTTAGTAAAAAAGATGATTGCCTATCAATTGGGAGGAAAACCCATACATTTACAAATGGAGAATTCCTTCTTCTCGTGTTGCTTTTTCTTTCCATCCACTTTTTTCTTGACCTTTTTTCTTGCAAGGTGCCATAGTCCATCATTTTCTGGCAAATAATTTTGTACGCCACTTGTTCAAGCTGGCAGGGTGACATAAAGGCCACACATTTCTATCATGAATCTATCTACGCTGATACCCCTGATACAGTGCGGCTGCTGTAAGATTGATGAAGTGGTCGATTGGAGCTGAGAGTGTGCGCGCTGGCAGCCAGGGCTTGTTCTGCTTGTCAGGGTGGTTTGTGGTTTCTGTGATCGATACTGTAGCTGCGTCCAAGTTCAGAGCCTGAATCCTTCGAAGGATGTGCCTCACAAGGTTTATCCTATTGATAGCACACAAGCTGTTCCAGTAGCACTTTGATGTCATTCATTTCTGTTCTACTGAGTTGGATTTTCTTAACGGGGCACTATTTTGCAAAATGTTTAGGTTTTATATATTTTTTATTATATTTGTATTTTGTGCCTCTAGTGTGACATGTCTCCATGCATGTCTCCATGCTTTAATGTTCGAAAAGGTCTTCATTTTTCTCATACTGCCTGTGCTGCAGCACCTCTTTTCACCCTCTGTCTGAAACCAGAGCCCAGTCTGCTCTGATTGGTTAGCTGGCTGGCTCTGTTGTGATTGGTCAACCAGTTAGAGATGCAGAGAAACTCCCTCTGGAGGGAACTTTGGGATTTTACATGCACAAAAACCTATATAGAATAGGGCCTCTTTAAGAGTCCAGCACATGACTTGTGTTAAACCTCTTTGATTTCTTTGACTCGTACACAGAGTTTTGAGGCGATTTGTGTTGCAACAGAGGAAGAATACATTATTAAGAAGATGCCATTTCAAAGTCCAACTCAAACCACCTGCTTTTGAAGGTTTGAGCCTCAGGGACATGTAACCATCACTACAGCTCCAAGTGAATCCGACTTTAAAGAAATGAAAACCAATGCTCGAAGCAAATCATCCTGACTGAGAACTGTTCTCCGTGTAATATGAATTATAGTTTTTATTCAGGGTGAATACAATGACAAAACTAGGGACAAAAAAAAGGGAACTATAGGAAATGCAGTATAAGTGTTATATTGTAAAGCTCTGTGTCTCTGCTCTGACAGTAAGGTGAAGGCCTGGAACCAGAAGAGATCTTTGGCCAAGGTGATGGGGGACAAGGCATCCCATGAGCCTCAGCGCTGGGAGGAAGACTACCAGCTGGTGGAGTGTGAAGGCCTGTTCGAAGAGTACCTGGAGATGGGCAAGTATTCTATCTCTTTCATTTTTTTTCTGGAAAAAACATGTCTACATTCACATTATTTTCCATTAAAACTGTCCATACAAGGGGTAAATAAACAAAGTTAAAACAAGGATTAAAAAGAAATCTAAAATATCTGGAAAAGTAATAATAAGCCTTCTACTTCTTAAGGTTTATTTTTGCGGTGCCATATTCATTCAGTTTATGATGAAAAAAAAAGTTTTCTTTCTAATTACTTTTAAAACATATTCAAATATCTTTATCCTGAAATAGTAATGTTTTTCCAGTTTTCCTTCTTTAATAACGTGGAAAATCCACCCAAAATATTCTGGTATACAAACAGTTATAAAACAAATGATAGTTAAATATTTGTTATTGCAGGACATATTTAATTATAAAGCTCTATAGGAAAAGGATACTCAAACTTTATTACTAAAAACAAAACATTTTTGCCAGCTAGGCACATTTTTCATCAAATACTTTCTCGAAAAGCAAAGCCCAAAACAATCTGGGAGCAAAGTTATAGCTCGTATACAATACCGTTTGCATTGAGACTAAGGACATGGGCAAGAACCCTATTCTGTTTCTTATATACAGGATGTCACTGCCATTCAACTGTCTAATATGAATATAGAAAATAGGATATTTGTTCTGCTGTATTTTATTGCAGAAATAATAAAGTACCGTTCTCCCTGCAGTGCTCCAGTTTGGGTTCATCACCATCTTCGTGGCAGCGTTCCCCCTCGCCCCGCTCTTCGCCCTCCTCAACAACTGGGTGGAGATCCGTCTGGACGCACACAAGTTTGCGTGCGAGTACCGCCGACCGGTGGCTGAGCGCGCCCAGAACATCGGAGTGTGGTTCAACATCCTTGAAGCCCTGTCACACCTGTCCGTCATCGCCAACGTGAGTCCATTAAAAATGACCTTAGCACCAGACTGCAGGCTGATCACTCCTCTCAGACATTTTCTTTATTATTCTTCTCTGTTGTCTGCAGGCCTTCCTGATAGCCTTCACATCAGATTTTTTACCTCGGCTGCTGTACCAGTTCAAGTTTGATAATGATCTCAACGGATATGTCAACTTCACCTTGGCTTACGCCCCACTTAACTACACAGAGTACCCAATGTGCAGGTACAATGTATGCTTATCTGAATGTGCCAAAACTTACTGATAGACTCTAGTTTTTCTTTCGTACAGAAATACATTTTACGTTAATTTTTATCTTTTTTTATATTATATGTTTTTCTTTTTCTTTTTCTCGCAAATGACTTATATGACTTATGTGACTTATATGACTATTTTATTTATGTTTTTTTATGTTCTTCTTAAGTTTATTGATTTTTGGAGGATCCTGGGGCATTAATGATTTGTGTTGCCACGACTTGATATAGCTATTGTTCACATGACAAATACAACGGTTGAACCTATCCTTCAAGTGTGGCAAAAATCTGTTTGGTTGGAAATTACATATCTTGCTACTCAAGTATGTTTTGTTCTGTCCCTTTTGCTAAAATCCTTGAAAGGTTTCAAAATGTCAAACTTGTCAAAATGTCTGATCACAGACTTGACCAACAGAGGGTAGCATTACTGATGTTTCACACATTGTTTACTTTGTTGACATGTGCTGCTGCATACACGCACACCCTGATTAAACATTATATTCTTTTTTAATGTATTTTTCCTCCCAACTTTAGATATAAAGCGTACAGAGACAACGATGGAAACTACTCACTGTTCTACTGGGAGCTCCTTGCTGTCAGACTTGGCTTTATCATTGCTTTTGAGGTATGAAAGGAGTTGCCTTTCTCTCTATTTGTTTTCCTTCTGGCTGTTCCAGTGATTTACGGTCCACCTTTTGTTCATTTTTATCTTTCACCCACATCTCTATACAAACTTGTGCCTCTGTTCCCAGGTGCATACTGGCAACTTAGCCCTCTTTCAGTGTTTGTTTTAGTGTTTCTGTTTTATGTACTGTTTACCCATATCAGTATTCCATATGTTATTTTGCAGATGACTTTTCCTTGTTTTACTAGTTCCACACTTTTTCTGTCGTTACTGTCTCCTTCAATAACTTTTCTCAAATACGTTAAGACCCACTCCTTTTTTTAAAGATGCCCTATAATGCACATTTTCAGGTTCTTATTTGTATTTTGAGCCTGTACTGTGACATGTTTACAGGTTTTAATGTTCAAAAAGCCCAGTCTTCTCTGATTGGTTAGCTGGCCAGCTCTGTTGTGAGTGGTCAACCATTCAGAGATGTCCCGCCCCTATCATGCACAATGTGTTGTAGCCTTACAGTCTATGGTTGTAGCATTAGCTAATATAAGTAGGGTGTTACTGTACATTGTGATATGTTACAGAAGTCAACAAAGGAGTCCAATATAGGCATCTCAGACAGGGGGGGGGAGCACAGGGATGTTTGCCTTTGCAGACCATTTACATGCACATAAACCATACATAAACCTATATAACACACTAGAGAAAAGGGAAACCCCAAAAAGCTTAATAGGGCCTCTTTAATATTACTCAGTTGCATTCATTTTGGCCACTATTCCAAACAAACTGATTGTTTAGCAATTCCTCCTTCCGTTCCTCATTGTTGTTATTGACATAGGCGTTCCTGGCATTCCTTAAAAGAGTCAGCAATTCTCTAAAACTACTGGGCACTGTAGTTGTATGCAGAATTGCTCAGGAGTCAGATCTATTCACATTTGGTGCATAGTGACTGTTTGCGGCAGCAGGACGGTGAATGTGTAATTGACCATAATGGCGGAGCTTAAAGTAGTAAGGGAAAACGTCACCCTGTACTACAGTGTGGCTCATTACGTGTTGCTCATGGCTTTGTAATCGTTTTTGGAAGACAGTGGAGCACTTTTGCACAGAGGATCAAGATATAATGGCATGTTATAAGGATCAGTACATTGCTTGTTTTCACCTTTTGTAAATAATAAAATAAATCACTAGATAACATAAGAATAGCAAAAAGAAAAATAACCTTAGCATAGTCCACCATCAATATATACACAACTGTCGGAAATGTATTTAAGTTGTATTCAAGAACTATAATCTGTCACGCCAACATAATCATTTTCTTAAATAAATATTTGCTAAAGTGACTCTTTTAAAGGATATGTTTTATGACTTTGCTCTTCCGTCTGTGGCCAGATAAAAGTACTGGGAATAGACAAAGTAATTACTAAGGAGGGAAATAGGAGTAATATTTCATTTTTGGCTGTCATGGGGTTTTGCAAAAAAACTGGAATTTCAGAGGTGCATTCTTGACAGGTAAAGTCAAGTCAGTTTATTTATGTAGCACATTTAAAAGGAACAGGAGTTGAACCAAAGCACTCCACATTTGACACCCACACAGTAGCGCGTATGCGCATACATTGAATAAACATCAAAGTATAGACTCGTCACACCTTGTACATCTGACAATTTTACTTGATTTTGACACGGATCCTATGAAACAACAATTATAGGTCCGTGATCAACCCCATTGGAGGTCAACCACGACCTGGCTACGAAGGAGGTGGTAGCGGCGAGTCCCTAGTAACCGTTAGAGATTCGTAATTCTATAGAAATAACACATCGACTTTATACATAAAACGGTAATGTGGGATTTTATGCGTATATTGTGTTCGGTATTCTGTGTTGGCTGTTAATACAGTGTATTATAATAGAATTCAACAATTATCAATACGGCGGACGGAATTATATGCACTACGGCGGCATAATTTTGTTATGTTACCGGTTCATTACTTTCTTTTTTCTTTTCTTTTGTACCAGGAAAAGTAAAAAAAATATTAAGTGTTTATTTTGTATGTGGAAAACTCCCTTGGTTCCATCCTGAATCCCCCCCGTAAACCGAAAGTCCCGTGAAACACACCGCAACGGGTTTACAAATCAATTCACACCACCACACACACAACACCACACACCACACACACACACACACCACACACACACAACACACACACCACACACACACACACACACACACACACACACACACACACACCAGTCAACCACGAACCGTTGCTACGAAGCGAGGTGTGTCCGGGAGTCCCTCAGTACCCGTTGAGAGATTGTTGAATTCATCAAATACACTTTCATGATATATACATAAACTGTAAATGAATTTATGGTAGTTTGTGTTTGGTATCTGTGGTTGCTGTTATACAGTGTATTATACTAGAATTACAACAATCGTTATCAGATAGGGACGGAATTATGGAACTACGGCATAATTTTGTATTGTTAGTCCGTTTCATTACTTTTTTTTCTTTTTCTTTTCGTACCAGGAAAAGAAATATTATGTTATCTTGATGTATGTGAAAACTCATGCTCCTCGTGAATCCCCCGTAAGCGAAAGTCGTCGAAACACACCGAACCGGGTTTAAAATCACACCACACACCACACGCACACACCACACACACACACACACCACAACCACACACACACACACACACACACACACCAAACAGCACACACACACACACACACACACACACCACACCAAACACACAACACACACACACACACACACACAAACACAGGTAACCACGACCGTGGCTACGAGGAGGTGTAGTCTCGGGAGTCCCCAGTACCGTTGAGGATGTGTTAATTCATCAGGAAATAACATTCATGATAATATACATAACTGGAAATGAATTTTATGGTATCTTTGGTGGTATCTGTGTTGCTGTTAATACAGTGTATTATAATAGGAATTACAACAATCGTTATCAATTGGCGGACGGAATTATAGAACTACGGGCATAATTTTGTATGTTACCGTCTCATTACTTTTTTTTCTTTTCTTTTGTACCAGCGAAAAAATATATGTTTATTTTGTATGTGAAAGCTCCATGGTTCCATCCCGTGAAATCCCGTAAACGAAACGTCGTGAAACACACGAACGGGTTTTACAAATCACACACACCACACACACACACACACACACACACACACACACACACACACACACACCACCACACCACCACACACACACACACACACACACCAACACAACCACACACACACACACCACACACCACACACAACACAACAACAGCGTCAACCACGACGTGCGCTACGAAGGAGTGTAGTCGGAGGTCGCCTCAGTACCGTTCGAGGAGATTGTTATGCATCGCCAGTAATAACATTCATATATATCACATCCACTCGTAAATGAATTTTATGTATTGTGTTGGTAGCTTGTTGCTGTTAATCACAGTGTATTATATAGAATTACAACAATCGTTATCAATCAGGCGACGGAATTAAGAACTCGGGCATAATTTGTTATCAGTTACCGTCTCATTACTTTTTTTTTTCTTTTCTTTTCGACCAGGAAAGAAATGGATTATTGTTTATTTTGTATGTGACGCGAACGTAAAACAGTACCGTTCCATGCCCTGTCTACGTATTTTCCTCCGGATATTTTGCGTCCGCTTAATAACATCGTATCAACCGTAATTCGAAATAAAATGACATAATCTCCATATACAAGTTAACCCACAACTCACAGCGAACAGATGTTGTTACAGATGGGATTACATTCGTTATTCGGAGGGTATTTGTGTGTGTCGGTGTGGTGTGTAGTGTGTGTGGTGTGTGTCGTGTCGTGGTGGTGTCGTCGTGTGTGTGTGTGTGTGTGTGTGTGTGTGTTTGTGTGTGCGGGCGTGTGCGTTTGCGTCGTGTAAAATTGTAGTAAACCCGTTCGTCGTGTTTCAACGACTTTCGTTTACGGGGATTCTACGATCGGAACCATGGAGGTCTCTGGCTCTCTCTTCTGAATTTCTACACAAGAGACAGGTGTAATTACACAAGTGTAAAGATTCACGTGGCAACTGGAGAATGACACGAGTCACGGGCTCTTGGAGAGTGCAGAGAATACAGTGACAAGAGAAGTTCCAAACCGGTAAAAGGAGCTTGATGTTGGTTTTCTCTTTAGTTCTTTAGCTACTACTCGGTCGAACTTTGTGTAACTATATTTTGCGTTTAAGTTACGATATGAAATAAACCAAGTACACAAACCAGGTAAGTGTCCTTTTTGTTTTTTTTCCTGAAAACGTCCTGTGCAACATGAAATCATATTGTTGCGTTAAAATGTGTATGCGTCACGCACATATTAACTGCGCGTACCCAGGGAAACACGTTGCAACCCTTTCTCTTGTCTAACCAGAGTTCTAGGGAAAAAGTGGTTTATGAACCTGTGTTTCCTCAGATATATTCTTTTCCACCGTCAGGCTAGGTCAATTCGTTCTGCAACTTTCCGACAGTATTTCGAAGAGCATTTCATACAACATGTCTATTTGTGTAAGTTTTTGTCTCAGGATCAACTTACGTAAGACCTAAATGACTGATATGTTCGTTTCATAAAATCGAGGTCGTTAGCTGTAGTTACTGTAAGTCCCATAAATATCTAGTAACCGTAAAATTTTCCCCATGTGACATTTTTCTCCGTTCCATGACAGTCCGAAGTAAGTTTCAGACTGAACATAAGAGATCACAAGAAGTCCTTTTTCACGGACTACTGCGGTACGTACACGGGGGTCAGTTTTACAACCGTACAGGTACGTCTTCCCGCACAATCGTGTATCCCAGCCAATCTACCCGATACACCGGTAAGAAGCGGAGCGTTTGTTGGAACCGAAGTCGTCGTGTGACTTACCGTTGTGACTACTGTCACAGATGTCGTGCTGTACGTAGAGTATTCCGCAGTGTCTCGAGACGAGGTTTTCTCGGTCGTATTATGCCGGCGAATTGTCTGCGTTCCCTCTACAATTTTTCCGCGCCCTCCAGATCGATTTGATTCGTAACTTCTACAGGTACACTTAGAGTTTATCTGTGGATGTCCTAACTACCCGCGGTTCTCGAGGAAGATTACATTGTACAACCTGCCTATACTGACGATCTACTCGGGTCCACCTAACCTTATAAAGTGTCATGGATTCGACGACAACAGTTGTCTTTGGATCTATCGAACTCCGCCCAAATCAACGAACCACTCTCCAATTTACCCCAACGTACCTCGATCCCACCCCCGTCTCTCCACTATTCGATTGTGTCCTCGCTTTACTCTCTCTGCCGGACCCGACCGCGCTCCACGTCAGGGTAGAGGGAGTAGTATTGTCAAATCTACCGATAAAGATGAACAAAAAAAGGGTGGTTTAGGATAACCGCCACTGTTTTCACATTCCCTCTCTCGAACATTTCGGCCCGAAAAAGTCGCAGGTGAAAGCGAAGGTGGTAGTTGGAGAGGGAGACACCCCCCCAGATTGAATGCGGGCGAGGACAGGAGGCAGGGTCGGAGGGCAGAGGGACTAGAGGGGTCCGGGGGACGGAGGAAGGACACGAATTACTGTGCTGTAAATAAATTAAGTTCGATCCCGACCCTTACTCTATCAAAGCTATCTTCTCCTGTCCCATAACCCACCTCCCCTTCGTCCGGTCCCTCTGTCTCCTTTCTTTCCCTCTTTCTTTCACTCTTACGCACACATAATGGCGTTAGTAGGAGGTGGATGTGATCGGACGGGTAGTCCAAATGCGTCGATTGTAACGACAGTGAGTTCGATATACGGGCTCGGTCGTTCCTTGTGTTCTGATCTCTTTGCGATTACTTCTACTATTAGCACCACTACTACTACTACCTACAAGGTAGCCAACCATTACACTCAGCGTAGGGTCGTGTCACGTTATAACGAAGATTTACGGAAGAGAATGTCCGTAATTTAAGAGCCGTCTTCTAGTGGCAACCTTTATACGAGAGGCTGCTTCTAGTCTGATTGTGTACCGTCACCTTTAATCCCGCAAATCAGTCGACACACACACACACTACGCCACACACCACACACACCACACACACCACCACCACACACACACACACACACCACACACAACACACCACACACACCCACACACCCCACACACACACACCACACCAAGGGGGTAGTGGCGACGTCGAGACTGTCGTCAGGTGTCTCTCCTTTGGCGCTTGTCCGCTGGAGCCAGTCTGTATACATAGGTAAGTGGTGAGAAGTGTACCGTGTCTGTGCCTCCTTCGTTGCCGTGTGTAATTAACTAACAAGGAAGCTAAATGGACTTAACGTTCCACTAATGTGTCGTGTGCTGCCCGTCGTGAGTCGATTTACGTTTTACTGTACTCTTAATTTTGTGTGGTAGTGTGTGTGGTGTGTGTGTGTGTGTGTTGTGTTGTGTGTCGTGTGTGTGGCACGTGTGCAGTCGATATTACGTTTTACTGGACTCTGATTTCTCCGTGTTTGTTTGTGTCGTGTGTCGTGGTGGTGTGTGTGTGTCGTGTGTGTGGTGTGTGTGGTGTGTGTGTGTGTCGTGTGTGTGTGTGTGTGTCGTGTGTGTGTGTGGTGGTGGTGTGCGGACGGAATGTCTCTACGTTTCCGCGATGTCTCCTTCGTGGCCGACCCGGAATTTCGGGGCCTCCGCGAACAGTTCCCAGGAGACTATGCTCCAATTCAAACACTGAGTAAGTGCATTGAACAAATCAATGACTGGATGTGTCAGAACTTTCTCCAATTAAATAAAGATAAAACTGAGGTAATGGTTTTTGGAGCCAAGGCAGAACTGTATAAAAGTTAGCGCTGAGCTTCAGTCTGCAATGTTCAAAACAACAGATAAAGCCATAAATCTAGGTGTAGTCATGGACTCTGACCTGAGTTTCAACAGTCACATTAAAACAGTTACTAAATCAGCTTACTATCACCTAAAGAACATATCTAGGATTAAAAGACTAATGTCACAGCAGGATTTGGAAAAACGTGTCCATGCTTTTATCTTCAGTAGACTGGACTACTGCAATGGTGTCTTCACAGGTCTCACTAAAACATCTATTAGAAAGCTTCAGCTGATTCAGAACACCGCTGCTCGAGTCCTTACCAACACTAAGAAATTGGATCACATCGCTCCAGTTCTGAAGTCTTTACACTGGCTTCCTGTGTGTCAAAGAATATATTTAAAAATACTGCTGCTGGTTTATAAAGCTTTGAATGGTTTAGGCCCAAAATACATTTCTGACCTCCTGCTAAATGATGAACCATCCAGATCTCTCAGGTCTTCAGGGACTGGTCAGCTTTCTGTCCCCAGAGTCAGAACTAAACATTGTAAAGCAGCGTTCAGTTATTATGCTCCAAATATCTGGAACAAACTCCCAGAAACCTGCAGGTCCGCTGCAACTCTTACTACTTTTAAATCCAGGCTGAAGACTTTTCTTTTTGCCGCTGCTTTTAATTGATATATTCATATCTTGAACTGCACTGTAACTTTTATTATCTTTGCTTTTTATCTTTGCTTTTAAATTAGTGTTTTTTTTTTAATGCCCTTAATGTCTTTCATTTTTGTAAAGCACTTTGAATTGCCTTGTGTTGAAAGGTGCTATATAAATAAACTTGCCTTGCCTTGTCTATAGTCCAAACCTGCTCAATGTGATAGCCCTAAAACTGTATTGAGGCAGGTTCTAACCTCACAGCCTCAAATGTGGAGTGCTTTGGTTCAACTCCTGTTCCTTTTAAATGTGCTACATAAATAAACTGACTTGACTTTACCTGTCAAGAATGCACCTCTGAAATTCCAGTTTTTTTGCAAAACCCCATGACAGCCAAAAATGAAATATTACTCCTATTTCCCTCCTTAGTAATAACGTATTTGAGAAAAGTTATTGAAGGAGACAGTAACGACAGAAAAAGTGTGGAACTAGTAAAACAAGGAAAAGTCATCTGCAAAATAACATATGGAATACTGATATGGGTAAACAGTACATAAAACAGAAACACTAAAACAAACACTGAAAGAGGGCTAAGTTGCCAGTATGCACCTGGGAACAGAGGCACAAGTTTGTATAGAGATGTGGGTGAAAGATAAAAATGAACAAAAGGTGGACCGTAAATCACTGGAACAGCCAGAAGGAAAACAAATAGAGAGAAAGGCAANAGAAGTTCAGCAAATGCTTTCTGTCTTTTTTTTTATGCTTGTGTTGACCTGTTGATCAAAAGTAACTCACAGTCCAAACATCTCAGTCCGCTGATCTGCTCATTAGCAGATCAGCGGACTGAGATGTTTGGACTGTGAGTTACTTTTGATCAACAGGTCAACACAAGCATAAAAAAAAAGACAGAAAGCATTTGCTGAACTTCTCTATAAGGTATTCATCTTATACTAACAGAACTACGCCTATATTGCGTACAGCGGGGGGGGGGGGAGAGAGCTCTCACCTGAAAGACTGAGAGGCTCTGATAACCTCAGCTCAGTGAGGTAAAGGCACACCTTTATATGATCATTATAGTTATAAAAAATATAAGAGAATAGATGAAAAATGGTCGCCAGCTAAAATCTTGCATAGGGCAGCAAATTGGTCAGGGCCGGACCTTTACCTCAGTCGAAGCTCAGCTTTGGTAAGGAAGAGACAGGACAGGCAGAGAGAAAGAGAAAGAGAGAAAGTGATGGAAGTCAGGGAGGAACTGCAGGTACAGTCACACAAAATAATGTAGGCTTAATAACTATCTATCTATCTATCTATCTATCTATAACAATAGTCTTCATTTACAATATAGACAATAGGCATAATTTTAAAACCACATACATCTATTGCAGTTATGATGTCATAATAACATACAATTGTATAAAACACAATTTGCTTACATCTTTGTTCTCTTTTGAGAATCAAACAAAAAAGAATTAAATTAAAAAAGAATAGCAAACAAACAAGTGAAATGAACTAAATGGCTGAATTTCTTTTAATTCACTGGCAGGAGCGACAAGTGAGGAGGAGCAAAAAGTGAACAACGAGGGAGAGATTGAACAAAGAGAAAGAGTAGAGGACAGAGAGAGTAATGAACAGGAAGAAGAGAGAGAGACTCAAGAAGATGGAAGAGAGGGTGCCGGTGAGAGAGACATGGAAAATGAATGTTGACAATGTGTTGTGATCATTTTAGCCTCTTCTGCATGTCCAGATCATTAATAGTAACAATCAACTGATTCTTATGCATTACACTTTCAACAATAATTTATGCTGCAGCCCACTGACATGGTTTGAAATCAATATATTATCCAATTTGTGACACAGGACTTAAAAAGCACCTAACTAGATCATGAAAATCCCCCAAATCTTGTCACCGGCTTGGACTTCAATATCAGGATACATTATTATCCTTGCAAGAATGGAAGTAGTCATCACACACAGAGCCGCGTGGGAAAAATAATTCCCACAACAGTTTCCTTCATGCTTACATACAAGAGAGGATGTTACAGTCACAGGATGGAGGAATACCGGTTCAAAGAAGTTTTCAATGTTTATTTCAGATTAGCTAAGGCCTGCGTAAGAAATAAACATGACAATCACGTCTATCTCCAGAGGCTGAATCATCATGTTAATCGTTGTCACATAGCTGTCATATGCCTAAAACAGTGTGTCCTGAGGCTCTTCTAGGTAATCATACATCCTGTTACGTACGCAGCTACGTAGGGCCTTTGTTATCATGTGCTACTCTGATATTAGAAGAGCACATTCAGTATTTTCCCAACAGATTCCCATAAAAGCATTCAATATAATGCTTATTTTCAACATCACTACAGCCTTTTTCAGTGGAAAAACAATGATCCAAACATGTCCATGAGTAGGTTTATAGGGTTTATTTGACAAGCAAGAGATGTGAGTCGACCCTCAGTATTCAGTAAAATTCCAGCAGCACATTAAATGTGATCCCTCACATTAAAAGGCATACTTTGCTTAAAATACATTACATGTGCATTTTCAACTACATTCAAAGCCAGACACAATTATAGGGTACATATAAAAACACATTAAAAAGGTACATCTTGGGGTTTTTCATGATATGGTTCTACAGTCCAAACAAGCTTTGGCTATTAGCTCAGTGATTGTCTCTGAAATGTGAGTTACCTGGTTTGGCGCTGGGATGTATCTAAATACATTCACTCAAATAAAACACTTTAAGGGCTTGTTCCTTACTTGAGCATCTCCATTTTACGCTAGCTTACATGGTTTGTCCTTACTCTTGTTTTATCCAGAATTCAAAGAAATTCAGTTCACTGTCATAGAGGAAAGAACAAACTAGAAACTATTCACATTTAAGAAGCAGTAAAAAACAGTAAAGAAATGTAATAATGAACAACTTATAGATTCATATGAGCAGCTCTAACTTAACATTACATTTAACTAAGACTTTAATAATTAATTTTGTAATTGATAAGTTATTTTACTTTTGACACTTCAGGTACATTTTGCTAATAAAAGACACATCTTTACTTTCCTAAGGTTTTAAATTCAGCACTTTCACTTAAGGTGGAGTATTTACAGTGTGGTGGTACTACAATACATATTTCATTTAAATGTTTCTTCCACCAATGGACAAAGTAATAAATGGAGAAATCAAGAGTGAAGGCTGAATTAGCAGAGGATTGTATACCAACAAGAAGGTGGCAATGTTTTTATTTAGCTCAAACAGCTTATTTGTTTATATGGTATGGACATTTTTAATTCAAACCGTCTGATGCATTTAAAACTCCAGAGTACCTTTAATTTTTTTTTTAATGCAATTCGCTTTTATATATTTTTAAAACAAAAAGTATTGTATAAGTCTAATGCACTTGTACATATCCATATGTGCAGGTTTAGCAACAATAAACTAATCTGATGGAGAGGACATTAAATAACATTTGCAGATCAATTCAGCTTAGGGTTACATCAGAGGGGTTACACTTTAAGAGCACTTCTGCAATCACATCCCACCCAGGGCACAAGAAGAAGGCAACACATTGGATCAGAGAGAGGAAGGAGAAGTGTATACAACACACAGTTCAATCTCCGGACCCGACACATGGAACAGGGTAAAGACAACATGCATAAATATGAAAGAAAAGCAGTTTTGCATTGATTCCAAAGTAAGTAATTTAAGAAGTGTAAGAGAACATCATGCATACTATTGTCTGTGCTTAGAGTCGGTTCATCCGAAGAAAACAAATACAGACAGATATATCAGTGTTTGAGGTGAGTTTCTGTATTTCACTGGAACTTATATGATAAAAGTCCATTCATGTTTTAAGCTACAGTAGTAATGTAGATAGGATACATTACAAACCCTCAGTCATGCTCAGTGTAAAACCTCTCTAAAGCACAGAAATGTGTAAAGGTAGAATAATAAATAAGTTAAAGTCCAGTATAAATTGATACTTTCCTTGAATCACACAGTCCTCCAACATCCATATCCCTTCAATTCATATAATAATATCACACTGAAAAAGCGCATGTCCATATTTCCAATGCAGCATCAGGTACAAACTAACCTACTAACCCTAACCCTCTCTTGTGCTTTTTCCTCCGAGACAAAAGAAAAACATCTACAAGGACTAGGTTTCTGAAAATCACATCACAAACATGGAAGGATGAGTAACCTTTATAGGCAGAGAGCGTTCTCTGCTCTCTGCCTCTTATGTTGTCTCATGTTCAGTAGAATATAAATGGACATTAATGGGCCGGACTTCTCTACCATCAAAAGCTTGGAGTAGCGTTAATGGCCACTCACTCAAGTGCAATTAGTTTTCTCTGGCTTTCATGTCTAACCTTTTCCTCTCCTTTCCTTGAACCATATTTCAAAGATGCAATGCTGTGTGCAACGGATGCCTCAGTGAAGTGCATTCAATATTGAGCTTCTAAAAAGCTGCACAGTGCACACTCCAGGTACACACAGATTTAGTTTTAAACAACTGAGAATTGAATTGCTTTGCAAAGCATTAAGAAAATCAGTCCCTGCATCCGAAGCTATGACTAAGTGTTTTTTATTTTTTATTTTTTATGAAACAACAAAGAATTAAAAAACAAATCCTCTGTTATCTGAAAGCTGCACGTTAGAAGCTGTGTGACAGCTGCAGACAGAAGGAGGGTTGGATCATGCTCACTAGCTCAATACAGTCAAAGAAAGCCCAACTCAGCCCAGATCCCAATCTCTGAGATCAGGCCATCCCAAGCCAGCTGTGTGGTCAAGCACATGCATGAGGATCTAATGCCGGAATATTAAGGAAAGGTAAAAGTAGAAATCCACAAAAGAAGAGGAAGTCCTATAAAAGGAAGCAGGTCTCTTTCTCCCTTATCGTTTCCTGAACTCCACTTAACATTCTCGTCAGTGCTAACTAACTCCTCAGTGCAGCAGCATTAGCATGTTGGTATTCAGAATCATTAGTGTGGCGCTAGTGAGCGCAGCTAAAAGCCCTCGCGAGCCCACTAGTCCCTGAGCACCACTCATCTGTTCCTTTATGTACTTTTCAGAGAAGATCAAGTACAGCTCCACGCATTTCCTGGCCTGCATCTGCTCAATCAGGGCGGGGTATCCGATCTCAACAATGCTGACTGTATCCTCGTCATCATCACTGTTGGGACCCTGTGATGCAGAGGGCACAGGATCAGCTTCAGGCTGGTTCAGAGGGCGTGGAGTAGAAGGTGCAGGGGTTGAGGAGTTATCCGCTGCCGTGTTGTTCGTCTCCGTTGTGTTACTTTCTGTTCCAGGGGCGGGGGTTGAGGTGGTAGCAGCTGGGTTGTTGTTTGTTTTTGGATTCTCCTCCAACAGAATGTCTGTTTTCTTCATGCAGGAGTCCATGTAGCTATCATAGGTTTCAGGAGGTTGGATGTATTTGTAGTCTCTGGTATCAGTGGAATTGGAACCATATTTCCTGTACATGTATCTGTTGTAGTGCTGCTCCTCCTGGGAGTTGTGGAAGTTGTAGGGGGGACGGGGGAACCTCCCTAGCCCGTAGCCCAGAGCCATCCCCATCATAGCCCCTCCAGCTACTCCCATCATTGCACTGCGTCCAAACCCTCTGGACCTATCAGAGGGATACATGCCCATTGACTGAACTGAGTGGGAAAAGGGAGAGCCACCCCGAGCTCCATAGCCCCCGTGTCCAAAACTGCCACCATATTGTGGGCTCTGGACTTTGTTGTTTGGGTTTCTGTTCATGTGTCTTCCTCCATAGGAGCCCCCTGCTTGGTCCTGGTAGCCTCCAGGTCTGCCTGACTGCGGATGCTGATTGGTTTTTCCAGGCTGTCTGGGGTATCCAGCCTGAGAGTTGGAGCCCTGATTATTTTTGTTGGTGTTAGTGTTGCCTCGGTTAGGTGTGGAGCCCTTCTTTTTTGAGCCGAAGCCGAAGCTTTTCCCAAAGCTGCCTCCTCTCTTGGCCATTGATAAATGAAACAAAAGAAGGGAAAGACACAGCAGAGGTAATGGATGCAGCTTCATCTTCGCCCTGTAGAGAGGGTCAGGAAGAGAAGGGAAAATGAAGAAATACAATTTTGGAATTTTCTGGTTTTATAATATGATTATGATTGACATTGTTGTTGTCAATATCGCTTATATCTATCACAATAAATCAATATGATCATATATACAATTACAAACATTATGATACAGACTTTAATTTAGGGCTACAACAATTGTATTGTCGATTAGTCAGGATTTTTTTATCAAAGAGAAAAGAACTTCTCAAAGCCCATCATGATGTATTTAAATTCCTTGTTTTATCTGACAGTTAAGGTCATAGTGTAATCTTTTGTCAATCCACTCACTCCTTGATTATAATTGTACTGTTTCAAACAAAAGCATTGTGTTTATAAATGCCTTTTGCAGTTTCCAGTGGTCAATGTAAGCATAAGGCTATGTTTAAATTCAAATGTAAGGTACATGTGATGAATATTTTCTGTCATGCCACTTTCTCCTCCTAATCTACTACATAATGGCTATTGTAGTGTTTTACTTCACTTCATTAATCCGACAGGTTTGGTTAATTTACAAATTTGGATTTTTTTCAAGACTAAACATTTTACAAACATAATATATTTGGTTATTTTAGTATAGTAATACTCCGTCCCTCAATCTAACCAGTCAGTATGGAATATGAACAGGTGTGGCAGCAGCAGGACACAATAACAGATGGGGGAAGGTTGCATAGTGATGCCACAATAAGTAATATGCTGCGGAAACGTCTACAAAAAGACAGCTCTAGACTAAACCAACCAGGCACGGGTCTTATTATTTATAAAACACATTACATAGCCTACTCTAGACCTAGAAAGAGTATACTACTGACCTTGTGTTGACTGAGCAATCATGTTAATGTGGCCTGCCTACTGCGACTGCATTTATCCCGTTAAAACATGGCGTCGCAAATGTAGAGTTAAATAAAATAAACACACTGGGTTGAGCTACGGTTTTATTACAGGCGCATGAGCTAAATACAAGGTGCCTTTCAATCCAAAAAGCAGTGTTTTGTGGATAGTGTGCAGTAAGGACTCGTCTTACCCGGACTGGTGACAGTTTTTCTGTTTTTCTGCGTGTTGTTCAGCCTCAGAGTCCCGCAGGTCGTGCCCAGCAGCGAAGTGTTGATGGACCTGAAACGTCTCTAGGATACTGGATGATTTCATATGACGTAAGACAAGAGGGTCGCTAGGGGCGGGGCTTCATTTGACACATTTCCCAGCATCCTTCAACCCAGAGGAAAATTCCCATGCCTAAGTAAATACAACATACATACACGTGGAGGCAAACGCACTGAAGGTGGAATACTACAGGTAAAAACACCGTGTTTTTCATACACTGGTCCATTTGGGGATTTTGCTTCCTTAACATGTCTTCTTTCAAACTAGTGGATGGAAAATATTCAAGAATACATCTGAGAGTGTTTATTTTACTACACTTGGTATATTTGCGTTCTCACATGTCTTCTAAATTCACCAAATGTCAAGAAACTAATTATTTTGTTTAATTATAAAAAAGAAGAATTGTATCCATGATGATTTTTTTTTAAAACTACATTATCCTAATATAAGTAATCAACTGTGTAAGTTTCATGGGGATATCTATTGTTGAGTTTTACTGTTCCCCCTTAGAATTCACAATACATCCCTTTAATGGAGGTTAATCAAAATTAGTTTTTTACATTAATGCCTAATCCTTTGGGTTAAAAAAAAAAAAGGTTTATGTTTAACTAGATGACACAAATAGCCAGAACAGGGAGCTCAGTGCATTTCTTCCTTTATTGAATACAGTTGATGACACCACCTGCTGGCCCTTGTAAGTCCTGCAATACAAACTTGAAAACTGTATCACTATATGAACCTGAAATCAACAGTGTCTATAAAATAGGAAGCAGTCATGACAGTAAAAAACAAAAACTTTATTTTAGTTGATACATCAGATCAAATATGTCGTAAATAATTAGTTGTATATTGTGATTATTGTGGCTTTCTGAAAGTAATACTACATTTTGTTATGAATATATTGCATATACTGCAATCAGAAGCTACATAAGCACTATGTGTATGTGTGTGTGTCTGTGTAGGGCAGTTTTTTTCCCACTTAATGATGTTGGCATAAAGGGTGTTATGTCATCTACAACCATGTGAACCATTGACCAGATACTCTGTTAAACTTACAATGTAAAAAAAACTGTATCACATTTACATTCTTATTCTTCACCACATTCAATCCTTTAATCAGACATTCCTCCAACAACACCAGAACTTCATGAGTTAACTCAATTACTGTTTCCTACTTAAAGCACATCTCCATTCTCTCCAGCTATTTATTCACGCAGATCACCATGAGAGAGTACGAGCCCCATGGTGCAAACTAAGCCCCTCGGGCACTGACACTGGACAGGTGGCATAAATAAATGAAACAAGTCTGAGTCTACAGCAGCTCATGCTCTGTTAGGCCGCATTTAAGAACAGTGGTGCTTCTAGTTAAATGTCAGCCTGCTAACATGCTCACAATATTTACCATGTTCACCATCTCAGTTTAGGGTGGTACCATGATAAGTATGATTTATTATGACCATCTTTCAAAGACGTAATCCTCCACATACTGTCTATCAACACACATGATCATTTCAGTCTGGACAAACAAACCGCCGATTTCATTCAAAAATCTAAGCTGAAGGGATGGTTGAGTTTGAATTTGGGTTGGACGAAGTACTTATACATAGTCATTATGTTATTTACTGTAGATGACAGTTAGCAGGTAAACATTTGGAGAAACCAATGCAGTCAGTGAAACATTTTTTAGTACTCAAAAGGAAAGCTTAACTAAGAAATGAATAAATATGAGTATACTCTACTTTTAGAATACTTGCAAATCTTTCCAAATTGGAACTGAAACTGTTACCTATACTCTCTTCCAAGCCAGACTCTACTAGAATCCAGAAAACGGAAGTTTCTACCAATATAACTGTTACTGAAGGCCTTAGTAGAGCAGCATCTGCATGTTGCTATTGAGAAGCATCATTGTTGTACTGGTGACAACAGCTAAAAGCCCTTGCAAGCCCATCTCCAGTCGCTGCACCCCACCGGCTGTGGTGCTGGGCTTCTCCTTTTTCTTCAAGTACTTTTCAGAGTAGGCTATGTAAAGCTCTACACACCTCCTGGCCTTCAGCTGCTCAATCAGTGCCGGGTAACCGATCTCCACAATGCTGACTGTATCGTCATCATCATTATCATCATTGACAGGTTTTCTGAGAACCTGTGCAGCTGGAGGCAGAGGATCGGCTCCTGACTCATTTAGAGGGTGTTGAGTTGAAGGTGCAGAGGTCAAGGGGCTTTCTCCTGCAGTGCTGTTAGATTGTGTTGTGTTGCTGTCAATGCCAGAGTCTGGGGCCGCAGTAGTTGTGATATTTACAGAAGTAGTCTTGGTAGTTGCAATAGCAGTTGTAGTTGTTGTTGAGGTGGTAGCAGCTGGGTTGTTGTTTGTTTTTGGATTCCCCGCAGGCAGAAAGTCTGTTCTCTTCATGCAGGAGTCCATGTAGCTATCATAGGTTTCAGGAGGTTGGATGTATTTGTAGTCTCTGCTGTAGTCGTTGGTATCAGTGGACTTGGAACCATATTTCCTGTACATGTAGTTGTTGTAGTACTGCTCCTCCTGGGAGTTGTGGAAGTTGAAGGGGGGACGGGGGAACCTCCCTAGCCCGTAGCCCAGAGCCATCCCCACCATAGCCCCTCCAGCTGCTGCCACCACTGCACTGCGTCCAAACCCTCTGGACCTATCAGAGGGATACATGCCCATTGACTGAACTGAGTGGGAAAAGGGAGAACCGCCCCCACCACCATAGCCCCCATATCCAAAACTGCCACCATATTGTGGGCTTAGGACTTTGTTGTTTGGGTTATAGTTCATGTATCCACCTGGAGGACCACCGTAACCGCCATAACCACCACCGTGTGCTGGGTAACCTCCAGCTGGATAGCTCCCAGCTGGGTATCCTGGCTGCTGGGCAAAACCTCCTTGATTAGGGTAACCCCCTGGTCGCTGGGGGTAACCACCTTGATTAGGGTAGCCTCCTTGATTAGGGTAGCCTCCTTGATTAGGGTAACCACCTTGATTAGGGTAACCACCTTGATTGGGGTAACCCCCTGGTCGCCCTGGTTGTTGGGGGTAACCACCTTGATTAGGGTAGCCTCCTTGATTAGGGTAGCCGCCTCCTTGATTAGGGTACCCTCCTTGATTAGGGTAACCTCCTGGTCTGCTTGGTTGATTAGGTTGTTTCGGCTGGTTATTTGTTTTGGGGGTCTTCTTAAAAAGATTTATCTTACCAAGATTTACGGTTTTCTTGGCCAATGAAAAATGAATATGAACCAAAAAAAGGGACAGACACAACAGAGTCAGCCTCATCGTTGCACTGCAGACAGGTGCCAGGGAAAGAAACATAAATAGAGGAAGAGCAAATTAATTGGCAGTTTTTTTTAACATTTTAAATTATTTCTACTGGACCGCTGAACACACAGCAAACGTTTTACCCAAATCGGAAAGATTACCGCAAAACATTCCAACTTTAAAGTTCAATCAAAGACAATGTTTGTTTTCTGAGCGAAGGTTTGAAAAGCATTGGAGACCATATATTTACCTAATTTACTCGGAAGGCTTCCGGGGACTTCCGCCCGGGGACTTTGGTCGGAAGTATAGGCTGTGAAGTTGTTTGTAGCCTGCCAGTAAACCCAAAGCAGAAGAAGAAGAAGTGACGTCTGTGGTTCAGTTGCGTAATCTTCCTTCAGGGAAAAGTACTTTTTAGTACCAATCGCGGTACTAGTGCCCTGGGGTAATAAGTGCCGGGGCACTGTACTGCAAAGTACGCTGTGTGAACGCGGCTAATGGGACCAATCTGGTTAAATAAAGGTTTGAAATTAAATTAAATAAGTCAACAGCCATGATGTTTTTGCAGCACTCAGCCGTCCCATCTGTTTTACCCCCTTCGTTCAACATGAAGCTATGGGTCCAACACATAGGTCCAACATAGCAGCCAGGCTAAAAATAGCACTAACGGCTCAGACCTTTGGCTTACTGCAGGCAGACACATTTTGCTCTTTACACGCCTGTTCCAAATGTCACAATTTGTTTTCACATGACTATCAGAGGAAATACAAAATAAAATATGCCAGTAGTTACCTGATGTATATTAGATAACATTAAAGTGACCTAGTAATGTCAGTTCACCGATGTTTCTCTCTTTAGATCCTGTCGCCCACGTCCCAAATATCACTTTTACCCCCCAGCTCTATGGAAGCTCTTAGAGGCAAGTGAAAAGAAAATCTGGTGATCTATTCTAGTCTAAACCTAACCTAAATTATATATTGTATTTATGAATTGATAACAGGAGAAAAAATTGCTAGGAAAATGAATTATCTGTCAATAATTGTTTTAAATGTTTGTGATGCACCACTGCATTAGTTCATCTTTTATGAAAATTCAGCATTATTTTGTTGAAAAGTCTAATTTCTTTAAGTTTCTAATGTCATATGACTTTTTCGCATCCCAATTAATCATTATTACTACACTGGAAAAGATAGGACCCACTTACTTTTAGTGAACTTTAGTCCACCTTCTACAATAAAAAGGAAAAATAAATATTATTAATCATGAATTAATCAAATTCCTTTTAATAGCTTCCACTTTATGTGACTTATTTGATCCTAATCTATGACATGCATTATCACCACACTGGTCAAGTAGGCCACACTTCTTTTTGTTGGATTTTAGGACTTATTTTATCGAATTTAAATTCAACAGTTACTTTATTGAAGTCTTAATTTATTTTCAATAGCTTAAAATGTCAACGACCCAAAGCATTACTCCCCTGAATAAATAGGACACACCACTTTTTCATTGATTCTAGTTTTTTTCCCCCTGTTATATGATATGAATATCGTTTCAAAACATGCTGCAGTTTTTTTATTGACATGATCGTTTTCGTTTTATCAGCTTCCATATAATTGTTATTTTTATTTATTTAACCAGATAAAAGCATTGAGAGAATCTCATTTGCAATGCTGACCTGGCCACGAAGGCAGCAACGTTACCCATAACACATAACATATAAAATACAGATAACATAACTAAGAAAACAAAAGACAAAAAATCAGTCACTACATTGTGCACATTAGGACAGTAAGAAAGGTGCACTACTTATTACTGCAAGAGCAGCTGGTGGTAAGGACTTCAGACAACTTCAATTTAAAACATGCTATTGAGACAAGTGCCGTCAGTTTGAGGCGTGGTTGAAGGTCATTCCAGGACCAAGGAACATAATAAAAAAAGACTCCTTTTCCCAGCCTCAGTCCACACAGCAGGTACCTGGAACCGTATCCAGGCACTGGATCTGAGGTTGTAAGAGTCACAAACTGGAGCACATATGTAGAGTGGAAGCTTACCTAAAATGGCTTTATACATTAATAAAAACCAATGCTGCATCCTACGCAATATGACTAAATTACTCCAAATGTTCGCCGAAATCTTTTGGAGAGTGTGAAATGTATCTTCCTACAGGTCTTTTTAATTTATAGGTATCAGGATCTTGGAATGTATGAAAATAGCATAAAATAATGCCCAATATAATTCAAACATGCATTTCAGAAAACTTGTGATACGAAAACATACCGTCTTAATGTAATAAATCAGACATGGTATTATTATAAATATTATAAAATCCAGATACACCTTAATTGGATTTCCCCAACCCAAGTACTGACGACAAAGAACGATATGATACAACTAGAAAGGGTTCAATTATTTTTATTTCTTTGAATTGTGTCTTCCCAGACACTCACTTTCAATGGCAAAGTTGATGCACACATTTAACACAGGGTAAGAACTAACTGGACAGCAGTGCATTTCAAACTGAAAGAAACAATCCTTAAAGACAAGAGGACACATCATGGTAGCATTGATGTACCAAACCATCTGAGATAGCAGCAGGAAGTTGTAAATACCAGACAGGCACACCGAGATGCTGATGAATGAACGATGTGAAACCAGGTAGACAATTAAGGATTCATTTGTGAATATATTGCAGATGCAGAGAAATGCATCCTGAAAATTCACAAAACCTTTTCATTTCAGTTCAAAGGCACAGCAGAACATGAACCCAGTCTAGTCACCCCCATTATTGAATGCTGTGCAATCCTTCTATCATGCAAGAGAAGGTGCCAGTCGCCAACATCAGAAAACCTCCTCGCAGATGAACTAAACACATCTAAGGAGCAGCTTATCAACATGACACAGCGCTCAGGTCAGTGACTGATGTTTTTGAGAGCATCGACCTTTTGTTTCATAACATTAATAATCAGTTTCATTTACTCAGAATGTCTTAGGATTCTTTTCTTTTTTTATATGGCAGCAAAGCCCAAACAAGAGATCAGAAAGCAACTAATCAGATTCTATTTTGTACCACAAATGCAGAGCTGATCGCTTTATCCATCAGTATCAACACTGGGAAGGACTATTTTGGATCGATAATTGGATCCAATGGGGAAGGGAAGAGGAGACATTCCACTTAAGAGAAATGGTGCAACTTGGCGCTTTAAACACAGCGCGATGAAGATCAAACCAAAAACTGTTGTACAATATAGAAAATCTGTTATGATGAAAGGAGCAAACATAAAAACAATCGCCCTTTAACCTTAGGCACATATGTAAAACCAATAAAATAAATCTTCATTAGCAAACTATTTGCTTAAAAAATATCCTTTGATTTTGACATCCACTTCTCGGATATGCCTATGGTATATAGTAATGGGGAAGAATGTTTGGAGACAAAACGTTACTCCAGCACTGTCAAATGTATAAAGAGGGATGGAAAATCTTCAGCAATGTCAAACACACACTCAACTGTATTCACACAGTACACATGTATGTGGTAAACCTTCCAATTATAGCTTTAGGGTCATATTATGCCGTAGGATATTTGGGTGAATCAAACTGAATGCTTTACATTTATCTCTTTTGGAGCCACCATACCAAAACAAGTCTCATTTGTGGCTTCAGAATTGAAGCTTATTCCCCATATTAATAATATGTCTTAATGAATAACATCAAGTATTTTTAGTTTAAAATAAATCTTAGTATCAGTGTTAAAACACAATACATACACTATACAGTGTATGCAAATAAAATCTGCACAATTTTCAGATAGTCTGTTCAGTGGTTTACCAGTGGAGGCAGACTGCAGCTTACCTCAGTCACCTCTGGATTTAAGGAGTGACCTTTCTCTGAATAATATACCATCTTCATGTTCGAATTGCAGCAGAAAGCAGCTACGTTACAACACCCTGTTCAGATGTAGGGCCAGAACAAATCTGCAGCTGGAGAAATGACACAATGACTTTTTATTTCATAAGCAGGTTCAGATGTGTCATTTGCTTCAGCACCTCAGAATGATCCAGCTTCCTGGAGATGGTACCACTACTACTAAACTAAAAAGTCTATTAACGTATTTCTGAAATAAATTACTTCTCTTATATCCTGAAGAGGAGCGAATAAGGAATCCAAATAAAAACAAATGAAATACTTGACATTTTTCAAAGGACTGTAGACTTTGCATAGCAAAATATACAAGCTGCTGCTGCTGCTGCTGCGATATAAGACAGGGACACAAATATACAGAATATTTACAAATTTACAGGAGAAGGAGGGTGCCTGGACTGTAAGGAGACACCATCAAACAGACGGTTAATCCGGCTCTGCCGTGGGCGGTTTGGGCGTCACTTCCAGGACATTAGGTCAAAGTATTCACACCATTAATGTTCTGCCAGTCCTCTGAAACGTCAGGCTGGTTTGTCCAGCTCTAATGGAGAGTGACAGAGAACGGAGTGCACAAATCAGAGGGTTTGAGGGGATAAAGAAGCAGCTGCTGAGACGAAGCAGAAGAGGCAGCAGACCTTTCCCTGGGTGTAAACAGAGAGCGAGAGAAAGAGGGAACAGGACTCCCAGGATCAACATACCAAACACAATGCTTAACGGAGCCAGTGATCCCCCAGTCCCTCTGGACTGAAGACAGAACGAGATATTTAAAAAGGAGGAGTTTAAAGGTCTGCCGAAATGTAGACCATCAAATTCCCCTTATCTGACCACTACAACCCTGTGGTCCCTCTCTCCCCCGAGGACACAGAGCTCAGTCCATCCTCTCTTCAGTCCACAGGCTCCAGCTCCGCTTTATACACCGTTGGCACTCATCTTGCTCTTCTGGGATACCTCTGTCGCTGCTTTAGCCTGCAGAAAAAGAAGAGCGTGGTTAGACTACCACATCATGTTTTTCCCCATTGAAAACCTATTCAAACATACTTTTATTTTGACTATTTATATCACCCTGCCTTTAATTGATAGCTCACAGCCATTAGGTGACATCATGGGATAGATAGTGAGAGAGGGTTAGCCGTCACAAAGGTCATCAGACAGACATGAATCGGGGTCACCAAGGTCATATTAGACTGCTGAGATACCCTGGCCGTGGTCTAATAATTACATCATGTGACTTTTCCAAACCACTTTTCCTTGTCATCAATGGAAAACATCATGTAGTCAAGGAAAGGGCTGAATAGCTGTTTTTCCAGAAAAGTAGCCCAGTCCCATTGTGAGAGATTAACATGCCATGGGACAAAGATCAAAGCCAGGAAGCACTAACAGGATTAAACCCGTGCTGCATAACATCTCAAACTGGTTCCTGTGGATTCCACAGCACCGGGCAACAATGTGATCTCACCTGAAGGACTTCAGCGGGGGTCAGGGGTTTGTCCGAGATCACGGGAGCCTTGTCTCTCAACTCCTCCACCTGCAGCACACAGGTAAACAAGTATAAAACGGAGGTTCCTAGACAACTTAATGGTTCATGTGAACTGCTGCCCAACACGCATGTGTAACAATCATTCATACATTTATCAAACCAACCGCTGCAGTCATCTATCATCGATCTACAAAAGGTCTAGGCACTTTTGGGTGGTATCTATCTTCTTGTCCAGCTCCCAGCAAATAGATTAGAATCAAGGCTGGGGTCAGATGGAAGCATTACCGACATCACAGCGTAATGCATACAGTTACTAGAATGACTGCGCTCGGTCAAAGCATGGATTTTCCTGGAGTAAACACTGCAGTCAAACTCCTTTAGT